CTTGGTAGCCCAGGCTGGCCTTGAACTCACAGAGATCCGCCTGGCTCTGCCTCCCGAGTGCTGGGATTAAAGGCGTGCGCCACCACCGCCCGGCATCATCATTTCCATTTTTATTTTAAGGTTTCTGAGATCTTTATTTTTTGTTTTAATGGTGTGATAGTTGTCCTCAGCTTTCTGGAACCTAAGCTTCTGGCTCCGGCTGCCTTGGAAAAGGTAAGCATCTTACTTGCTGCTGCTGTCTGATCCCTTAAAGTATTCTACACAGCGTGGGATCCAGCTGCATTTCTCATTTAGGAATTTTTTTAAGACAAGTTGGCTAGGTAGCCCAGGCAAGCATCTAACTTCTGCTCCATCCTCCTGCCTCCACCTCCCAAATAGCTAGGATCAGAGGTCTGTGTCACCAGGTAGAATCTTGAATTCTTAACCCTTTGCTTGAGCTGTGCATCATAACCTGGCTGAATCTAAGGAAGCCATCCACACAAAATGAGCAACCAGTGTGTGTGTGTGTGTGTGTGTGTGTGTGTGTGTGTGTGTGTGTGTGAACTAAGCTGGTCCCAATGGCAACAATAAGAGAGAAACTGAGACATTGGGACATTTTATGATCAACAGGTCCTTGTTAATGGCAAGTGGGACCCAAATCTGCATACATGAAGTATATTATGAAGCTGGCTCAACAGATTTCATGGTGGGAATACAAACAGATCCACTCCTAATACACACCCAATGTACATTGATTATACTTCCCAGTTGACTTACCTTGTAGCCTTGGCCATTGTGATTCCGGGAAAATGGATAAAATGCCCCCAGCTGCATCCACCGCCTGCAGAGCTCCTCAGATGTGTCCAGGGCAAAGCCACATATATCAGCCCCTACCTATAATGACACATGGACAACATGCTTATCACACTTCCACCTCCTTCTGTTGCTTTCCACCAGGAATTTCCTAACCAAACTTTTTTGTTCAAATCTTTTACCCAGAAGGCTAATGTGGTATGGTCAGAATCATCACTGTGTGTACATGATGCTAAATGACTCCTTTCCTGCCATGGCCTCTTGATTTTGTTAAACTGAGCATGAGCACTGTATGGATAGTAGCTGGCAATACCAATAATATTGTATCACATACATTTCTAAAGTCCGACTCTGATCACACCACTCCCTTCATCAAACTCTCCACAGCTTCCTCTCTATCCCTTCTCTCAACCCTTTAAACCTGGTTCCAATCTACCCTTTCAGATAACTACCTGCTCCAGTTCTCCACACCGATCTTAGGGGCACATCTGTCACCCTCTTCATGCTCCTTTTGCTTATGTTTATTCTGTTGTCTTAAAATAAGCTTCTCCACTCATTAGCCAGTCTCCATAAATCAACTTAAGCGCCATCTTTTCTACAGAGTCTTTGGGCTTCCTCCCCTGACTCTCTGTCCCTTATAACTATATCAAATTAATAAAGAATTTTCTCAGAATCTCTCATAATGATTAATATGTACAGCCCTGTGGGTTTTTTTAAGTCCTGGCTTGCCATAATTATGGTTACTTGTATTTCTCCATATTTTGTTACTGGATGCCATTTATACTTAATTTAGCACCTTGACACAGTAAGAGTTCAATAATGTGTCTGTTGAATTTGACCAAGCAATCCAAAGCCTATACAGGGCTGCAGGGCTGTCCCTTCATCTGGGAACTCGCTACATAGGTGTGTTGCATGTATGCATGCATGGGAACTAGTTACATACTCCATGTATGCATGAATCTGACTTAGACTCAAAGATTGGCACACTTTTTGTGTGTTACACATTAAGAATATTTCAGGAGATATCAGGGTTGTACTTTCTCTTTACATCAGGCAGTTCAGACAATGATGACAACTGTAAGAGCCACAGTGATGGTGATGAAGAATGGACATTAAAGCCCTTGCCCATGACAGGCTTTATAGTATGAAAACTTATCAGAAGGAAACTTCCTGGAGACTAAAAGTCATAAGAGAGCTGGGGATAAAGACTCACCATTGGGATACCGAAAAGGTTGAACTCCAGCATGCCTGGAATGGACCACTGGAGGTCCTTCCAGGTGGCAGCATTGTCTCCCAACCAGTGGGATGCAAACTTGCCAGAGCCCGCAAAGGTAGAACGTGTTATGATGAAGCTTCTTTTGTCTGGGAACACGGTCTTCACGGCTCTGGGAAGGGACAGATATTTAGGGATCAGTGGGGAGCTCAGCTAGTCTCAGAACAACACCAATAATAAGAATATAAAAAACAAATGTCTCATTCCTCTCTGCTCCTTTTCTCCAAAAAGGAGTAGGGGGGCTGTTAGAAGCAGTCTCTACCACGACATGCATTCATGTTTTGCTTAGCTTTGTTTTATACGTATCATTAGCCTCTTAATTTCCAACAACTTCCAAAACAGCCTTGGAAAGGTTAAAAACTAGAGGTATATGAATTTTATAAAATAAAAGTAAAACTTAACATAAGTAAAAATATGTTAGTCTTTCTACCACAAGACCTCAGAAACAAAACAAAAGTGGACTTATCAACGTTACTTTTGAAAGTTTTATGTAGAAAATAATGTTAATAATGTTAATAATAATTTTATAAGAAAAAAATGTTGTAAAATTAAACATAAATGTATTTTTAAACTAAATACATTAAATGTTTTAAGTTAAAGGTCTGCATATGTACACCTAACTAAAAAATTTTGCAGAGCTGGATTAATAACTCGATGGTACAACACTTGCCTCACAGGTAAAGCCCTGAGTTTATCTCCCACACTGAAAAATCATTTACTGTGGAACTTTCCCGTTTATCTCAAAATAGCTAAAATTATACCTGTTATTTTGTTAATCAGTGAAATTGTTCTTGGTCTAGTTTCTTGCTGTTACTGTTACATCGAAAATAAATTATCTTTACTTTTTATCATTATAGAATTTAATTTCACACAAAAGCACAGAATCCAGTAGAAGGCTCCTGGGTCCGATGTAAAAGCCCAATGGCCATGAATATCTATAAGTTACTTAACCCTCTATATCCTTTATTTTTACACTATGTAGGAAGATAAAAAGTATAAGGAGAAGGGCCTAAATTTTGTTTTGCTGTATTTTAGATATTTTCCTTGGATAATAGCTTTCTTCTTATTTTCTATTCATTAATTTACTCATTTCTTATTTCATTTTATATATTCTGCAAATACTTACTAGATTTCTTATTTTCTACATGCCAATTTCTTCACTCACTCAGTAATGATGACCATATTTTTAAAATATTTTGTCAGCTTTAAGTATTTGTATGTGTGTGCCTACGCACACATTGGGTATATGCACATTAAATGCAGATGCCAGAGAGGACCAGAAGTGGGAGTCTGATTCCTGGAACAGGCAGTTGTGAGCCACCCAATGTGGGTGCTAGGAACCAACCTCTGGGAGAGCTGTACATGTTCTTAATTTCTAAGCCATCTGCCGAGGACACACCCTCCCTCAAGTTTACTTTTTGTTTTGAATTTTAACAAATATTATTTATGAGTCACTATGCCTCTTTCAGATCCATAATGTGATCACATATAAGTTTGTAATAATAATGAACTCACTCTGCTGTGGCAATGGCCATGGAGTAGCCATACAGATTGTGAACATCATACTGCTTGCCCCAATGCTGAATTGCATCCATGCAGAGAGTCTTAGAGAACAAGTGCCCATCCAGGATCTCTGCAACAACAACAAATGACCAATCAGGGAAAACTTTCTATGCTAATTTCTTACTTCTTAACTTCCACACATCCTGTAAATATGGCTGCACTGGCCAGGTTTTTATTATAGCCATCCTGAAAACAAATGTGCTGTGTTCCAATCATCAGAAGACCATCTAGTTGATGTAATTTTCTGATACAAAAATGCATTGTGTCACCCACACACTCCTGATTCTCAGATGCAGAGAAGAGAATATAACCCAGCTAGAATTTCAATCAAATTTTCCAAACCATTATAACTGGCTCAAAATAAGAAACATTGGATGAAAGTGTAATTTAGCTTCTGCCTCCATTTTCCCTTAATCACATGTTGCACAGAGTGATTAGTAGTCTTAGTTTCACTCACATATTCTCTACTCCTACTCAACCATTGTGGCTCCCACAGAAATGAAATGTGTATTCTATTTATTAATATAGATTCTTGACAATTTATTTACTTCTGATGTATTTTTTAAATTCATTCTACATGTTAATGCCAGATTAATACTTCTAAAATGAGTTGACAATCCTACATCCCTCTGACAAAACTATAAATAGCTTCTATCACAGAAAGAATTAAGTGAGGACTGTTTGGCCTCCCATCAAACCTCTTCAACATTTGATTCTCACCTACATCTGCCTCAGTTTCCTAGTTTGTCTTCAGACTGAAGTTACCATGAGTGTTATAACCCTAGAAGTTTCGTTTCTTTCTTGCTCAAGATATAAATTTCTTCTTGGCTCTGTATCTTTCTTCAAACAACAATTAATACTGTGGTTCCATAACCATATCCTCAGAGGTTGAGGTTCATTTGACTATATGGTTCATGTTCACTCTTCAAGTTGTGGTCAGCACCAGATGTATTCCTCACCTGAAGGTCAAGACTACCCATCTGGTCTCTCTTGTAAGCTCTATGAGATTCACCTTGAAAGTGGCACTAACTAATCACTAGCCTCTGGATTCTGCATCATATGTGTTTTGTAATTTCCTCTACAACAGCATGGACTAGGCATAGAAGAACTAGATTATCCATTGAGAATTTATGCCTCTTCAGAGAACCATGGACAGTATATTGAGTTTCTTTCCTAGTTTTCTCTATGTAGTGCCCACATTCCTTTCCCCGTGAATATTATTGTTCAGTGGCTCAGGTCTATCCTTGTAAATTTAAAATATCACATACACCTTGCCACATCAATCAAGATGTCCACAATGACTTACTTGGTGTGAATGGGGGATAATTGAGGTTGTTTCTGGAACATCCTGAAACTGAGCCATCAACAAAGTTGGAGACTTCATTCATATCCTACCAGACAGAGAGCAAAATCTATTAGACAAAGAAGCATACTGTGTTTATATAATGGTAGTGTGTTTTTGTTTCTGAGGATCAGATAAATTACTCTACATATTTCTTTTTAAGAATGTCCCATGCATAAGGTAGAAATATAGATCTCTATCTTCCCAACTCACTAGAAATTTCATAGAGGAAGTTCTTAGAATAGCTTCAAAATGATGCATGTCTATAGTTACTGAAAGTAACAAATTTCCAAATAGATTATCCAAAAAGTTTCAATTTATTTCCTGTCATATATTTCAACCTACAGTATTATATGCCTAAATATATCCTACATATAGGTACATACATAAATATACATGTATATCTAGAGAAGGGAGACAATATATCCATGTGCCAGAGCTGTGAAAACTGAAGGTCTGGAGGGGTAGATAGCAAAACTAATTTTAGACATCTTTGGTTGCTATCATTTTACAGAATTTTTAGCTGATTGTATTATTTGAATTTTCTATAGTTCTTTTATAAATAGAAAACTTTCAACTGTGGGCCTAAATTTCATTCAACAGCATCTGTATTACACCCATATTCATTTGACATTTTATGAGACATTGCTCCTTTATACTTCCAGAAGGTATCTTATACCTGAGCACTTTGGTTGGATCAGTCTGTCATCATGTCTGAACAAAACCCTAAGCTGACAATTGAACAATCGTGTGCTTTCTGACACTGTGAGCAACATGTGACCCTTGCTTTCAGCTTCTTTCTATGCTCCATGACTCAAAGACAGCCAGAGATAGACACTGTGAATGTCTCCATGGGTCAAAGTGTTCAAACTCACAATCCAAATGCCATCAAACTCCACATCCTTGTGGAAAAGCTCAAGTTCTCTTGCCCACCAAACAGCACACTCGGGATTGGTGTAATCAGGAAAGACAGTTGTTCCAGGCCAGACCTGTGGGAGACAAAAAAAAGAGAGAACACTGATAATAAATTAAGTGAATGCAGAATAAGCAAAGAACTTTATGTAGGAATTCCTAATGTGATCATGGAGACAGAGATAGAAAGCCATAAGTCTTCTCAGTGTAGAGTAAATCACTTAGAATATGGAGACTCAGTCACTCTCAATTGAAATGAAAAGCCACTTGAGAAAATTAATTTTAAAAATGTTGATTGGCTATTTAAATGAATAAATCTAAGGATAAAAGCACTGTCCTGTTTGCCAGTCTTCAGCTCTGGTTCACATTTCCATGTTGCTTCTCCTACTTTCAGGTCTAAGAATTGAAAATGGAGATAGGTTTTGTCTGAATTTCAATTGACCCATTATAATCTATAGATTCTAACATTACTTACTTTTCTCTATTCTTTCTCTATCCAATTCCCTCGGACACTATATTTTGAAGGGCTATTGTGGATATTAAAAGTTAAGCAGAAGATAATACCTTCATGAAAAACAAGATAATAAAAGATTTCAGGGGAAAAAGTGGTAAGTATATTATTCATTGACAGGAAACTGAGTCAAGAGTGGCATGACTCTTTTCAATTGGATTTACCTAGTAGGCAGTGACTAATGCCAGTTTCAGTGGAGCAATGTGAGAAGCAGGAGTGTAGTGGCAAGAGGAGACAGAGTAAGGAAATGGACACTCAATGAGTGAGTTGTCATTGAATGGATCTGGCTGGGAAAAAACATGTAAGAGCTGGAGTAGATAGTAGGCATTTGGGTATGAAAAGGCAAAAAAAAAGCTTATCCTCAGCATGTCAAAGTTCTTTGAAGATGTACAGGACAACCACACACTTATCCACAACCACTCACACTCCAGCCAGAGATAAAACCACCACTTCCCTATTAAATTACCTCTCCAATGAGTGCATTTACACCGTCAGAACTATTCACCCAGATTTTCATTGCTGAACCTCTGTCATATGGGCCATAGGGATCACTTGGGAGTGAGTTATTGGAAATGGCTGGATCCTAAGAAAAGAGAAAACACATGAAAAAACTTACTTTAAGCTAAAGGTTGAATCTCAATGAAGTCTCCAATAAAATAGGCACATTCAAATGTTGCTGAAAGCATATTTTCATTTCACTGGAGGCCAAGTAGGGAGAAGGGGACATAATGAAAAGAATGAGCAACCACCTAATTTCAGAATTAAAAAGGAAGTACATACCAAAATGATAATAAGTTTCTGCCCATTGTTGTGTAGCTCCTTAACAAACTCCGGGAAGCCTTTAAAATTAACTGGGTCATAAGTGAAGTCCTTCCTCTGGTCCATATAATCAATGTCAGCATGCTGAACATCCTGAAAGAATACAAGCGTCCACGATTTAGTGCCTATGAATTTCCCTGCTAAAGGGAATCACCAAATTATCACCATTAGCATCTAAGATGAAAACCAACTCCTGTGCTGGAACCTAAATGCAGTGCTATTGGTTGTCCAAATACATCTTTTTGAAGAGCAATTTGGAAAACAAATTGCCTCATTATCTCCCTAAGGCTCAGCCCCACCCCTGATATCAGATTAACTGCACAATTTATGACAAACCACTGGGGCTATCTAAACAAAACTCACCCTACACACAAGACAAAGAGAGGAGGGGGATATTTCTTCTCCCTTCTTTCTCGTTTCACTATCATAATAATCCTAATAACTATTTTTGTCACCTTTACCACAGTCCATCTGTGTGTATTCTTTCCTAGTTTTATATGAAAGTAGCGACACTGGAACAAAGTTTATACTGTGCCTATGTCTAGGAAATGAAGAGGGAGACAGAACAGGGTTGTTCTAGTTTTTTTAATTCCCCCTTTATGTCTTCGAGACACCCCATTTCCCATTACAGCCTCCAATATAATAGAAATATTCAAAATCAGCCACTCAAAGCAGAAACATTTTAGTACAACATGTACACTATGCTTCCTTCTTGAACTTTCAAGACTGGATGCTCATATGCAACTCTGAATTATTTTCAGGTCCATTTCTCAGTATTTCTTTTCACATCTTATTCCACTGTGCACCAAGAAATCCTCTTCCCCCACCCCCAGATTACTCAGGAAGGCAATGTCTGCCTGTATGTAAGAAAAACCATACAGAGCAGAGAGGCACAGTGGTGCTGGCGATCTGAACTGGCGACCCTGTTCCTTTGGCTATCTACTAGTAAATGGGGTTTATATCCTAACTAGGGTTGAAAATGGGATTCTGCAGTAAGTAAAGAAGACATGAGCCGGGCTTACGAGTCCACATGGGCATTCTCACTATTCTGATGGCTGGGCTTATTCTCCTCACCTCAGTTCTGCCTCTGCTGTTCCTGTCTCTCATTTCCCTCTCACCCCAAGAGCCATAGTCCCTGAGGGCTGGAAGACAAGAGACGCCAGCCAAAGACTGGAGTCACCTACCCAAATGTCTTGCACAACTCTCATTTACTGTCTTCCCCTAGTCACCCTGTGTTTTTAAATCTCACTCTTCCACCTGTTCTAGTTTCTCATTTTCTTCCCAGTTCCAAGGTCTACTGAAGTTCTATTTCAAATACAAAATAAATGATCACAGTGTGCGAGAAGACAAGTCCTGTCCACTGACTAGTAAACAGCCACCCAAACACCACTGCAAAACAAATGGACCTCAACCTTGTCATTTGATTTTGGGATAAATCTACTTAAATGTGAATTCTATCACCAACAAGCTAAATGGGTACAATGAAACTACTTCCCTAATTTAGCTTCGGTTTCTTACCTGTGTCTGTGCAAAAAAAAAAAAAAAAAAGCCAGTTAGATGATTTGGACCTGAACCAGTTTCATGTGTGTGCACACATGCGTGCATGCGTGTGTGTGTGTGTGTGTGTGTGTGTGTGTGTGTGTGTTGCCTAACTCTTCTCTTCTTCAATGTCTTCTCAAAATATCTGTTAACATTTATTAAATGATAAGGGGTTGGGAGATGGAAGATGGAAGACCTGCTTTATGAATTAACTCACACAAAACCCGAGAATCAAGTTTATACCAAGGTCTTGGAGAGCTCTTGTATCACTTTTATAGTCAATCTCTTCCATGATATTTTTGAATCAAAACAATTCAACCAAGACTATATAGAAGGTAATAAACCTATATGGAGAAGCATAAGCTAAAATCTGAGCTAAAGACAGAATTAACTTAGCTGTGGGAGCCCGTTCTTGGGTTCCTCGTGGCTTTACCCAGCAGGTCCGAATAGAGGATGATCAGGACCACGGGCCTGAGTGCAGGTGTCTGAGATGGTCTGCACTTGGCTGTGCTGGAGAGGAGGTCTTTTGCTCCACCCCTTGGCGTCTCTATAAAAACCCTGGGCCAGAGACAGTCGGGGCCCGTTGGAATAGGTTCCAGGCCCTCTCGAGGCTATCCTTTATTTTCTATCTGTTTATCTCCGCAAGATTCTCCGCTATAAATCCTTCTATCTAATATTTCCTGCTGCTCGCACTCAAGAAAACTCTGGGAAGCTGTGGGGGTGGTGGGTAAACGCCCCACACCTAGCTCAAAATTAAGTTCTGTAAAAATGCAGTCAAGACAATAAGCATGAGAAAATTGAATTGATAAAACAATACACAGTCAGAAACCAGGTTTTTGCCTCATCTATATTATTAGTCTTTAAGTAGCACTTCCTACTGAAGAGAACCACAGTTCTTTGAAAACGAGTGATTGATCTGACAAACCCTCTAGTATTCTAAATGCATAAAAGTCATTTTATTACCAGAATGGGAAAGAATTCAAAGAGGGAAAGTATGGAGAAGGTAGAGGCTGTTCCTGTTCCTCTGTGGATTTCGTTTTGGAGAACTATGTTCAAGCTTACTTACATATGGGAGCTGTGCTGCACGGTTTCGATCCACAACTTTCTTCATATTGTCTAGGGTTCCATAATCGTACCGGCTGAGCTGAAACCCAAGTGCCCAGTATGAAGGCAGAGTTGGCCGCCCGATGAGCTGAAATAAATACGTGGAATGAAAGTCAGTAATATTGTGTGTGTGCACATGCATGGGGGGGCGGGGGTTGCATGTGGCAGACAGAGGTCTATGTAGGATGTCTTCCTTAATTGCCCTCTCCCTTAATTTGAAGGCAAGATCTCACACTGAACTTGGAGCTCACTAATTAGCCCCACTGTATAAGTGGCTGGTGAGCACACCCCAAGGATGGCCCTGTCTTTGTCTCCCCATGGGGAGATGACAAGCATACACCACTGCACCCAGCTTTTTACAGAAGGACGTGGGTCCTCATGCTCATGCAGCAAGTCATCTTTTACCAACTAATTCATCTCACAGCTCAATGCTTTTTAAGATAAAGCTATTTTATGCATTGGTTTAGGGCACAAAATATATTGTTTTCGGGTGTATTGATTCATTAACATTATAATGCCAGTCAACTTTTTTTTTCTTTTTTCTTTTTTCTTTTTTTTTTTTTTTTTTTTGTTTTTCAAGACAGGGTTTCTCTGTGTAGCTTTGGAGCCTTTCCTGGATCTCGCTTTGTAGCCCAGGCTAGCCTCTAACTCACAAAGATCCGCCTGCCTCTGCCTCCCAAGTGCTGGGATTAAAGGCGTGCGCCACCACCGCCTGGCCAGTCAACTTTTATATCTCCCTTTTAAGAGTAAGGGCACATTTTGGTATCTTTATATCCTTTCACATTTTTATAATATAAAACATTTCCATTGTGTATATAAGGTCTGTCCTATGTCTGAAATGTATCATCTCAGGCATGTCTAACTCACACGTGTGTGTTAAGTTTACATCTCTTAATGTTTGGTACGTAGGATTTCCTCAGTCATAACCATGATTTCATGTTTACCTCTAGATATTCTTGAACAACTTCCTCAGGTGTATTCCCCAAGAAGACATAGAAGTCCAGAATCCCCCCAATGGGGCGGTATGTGATTGCTGGAGTAGGCTGAAGGGTAACCTCTTAAAATATTAAAATAGAAGAAAATAAACATTAGGGTTCGTTCTATTAAAATGACTACAAAATTTATAGCCATAGACACTAACTACCTGAACTTTGGTAAGGTGATTTTTAATGCCCCATGTGTTGTATATAAAGAAACAAATTCTTACATACATGAGAGTTAAAATATTTGTTCAGCAACAAACATCAATAGCAGGAAACTAGAATGTCCTAACTCCTGTGCCATGTCCCAGGCTCTGTCTAAAGAACAACCAGCCTCACAAACGAATCCAGAATTAGTCCCTGCAGCACAATAGTTACTTGAGGCTGATGGCCATTGTTACTGATACCCCTAGTTACCCAAAATCAGAGCCCCTCAAAATAACTCAGCTGTCACAAATCCATTCCATGGAAGCAACTCTAATCTCCTCTCAGACAATGAACATCAGTAAATACTGTCACAAGAATGTCCCATGCCCCATCTGTTTCCTGCGCATGCCCATTTCACCTTGCCTGCTATTCCTGAGATTCTGTACATGCTCATTTCACCTTGCCTTCCTGACACTTGTTCTCTACCCATGCCCACCTCACCTTGCATGCCACTGTTAAGATGGTGTATAAGCTTCAAGTTACAATCATCCCTTTCAGTTACTCAACCCCGAGCACACCTGTCTGTATAATCTTTGCATATGCAAATAAACTCTGACTTTTGCTTCCTGGTCTCTTTCTGGCAGTTTAGTTTGCAGGCCCACAAAAATTAAATCTTAGAGGGTAGAAGAAAAAAATCTCTCTGAACCTGTCATTCTTGTTCTACACTTCATTGTTACTATAAATACACAGCCCAGCTAGACACTCTGAAGTACTAGCCTCAGTGAAGAAGAGTCAAAGTAAAGCAGGTCAAAGACTATATCATAAATACCAAGTCCCATTACTCTCCAATCACCCTCCTGAGAAGTTGTCTCCTAGCCTTGTTCTATGTCTAGGGATAGAGGGCCTCAGAGTCTTCTGAAAGCACTCTTAGGTCATATAGAACTAATTCACACAGAGAACCTACGACCTTGTAGCTTTCCCATTAAGTCTTGACTCAACTCATTTTTGTGATTCCTTTTAAAACCACCTGAAACTGGACAGTCAATGTATTCGTTTTGTCTGTTCTTGGGCTGTTTGTATTCTAGAATGATCTTGGATCATCTAGACTGCTTCTCAAAACAAAACAAAAACTATAGTGAAGAATTAGATCTTTCTTGCTTACTTAATCCTTAAATTATTGCAAGTCGATATGTCTATAAAAGAGCATAACTTATGAGAAAAAGGCTTATGCAGACCTTTGGCTGTTAAATCAATGCTTATTATCATTATCTATATTCATCTTGTATGGACATGAAAGACTGTGTGGGCTACACCTTTGAATAACACTGACCTAATCCAATGATAATCAATTAGGAGAGTAAGGCTCAATATCTTATGCCCACCATCAGCCTAGGAGATATGTATCCATCTCTTCTTCCCCTGTGGTGACTGTACTGGAACTGCCAGTCAAGATCTCTTAATGTAGAACTAAGAAGGATTTATGCTCTGTGGGTAGATCCTGTCTCACAGTGGATTACAGGAAGAGTTATCCTAACTCTGTAATAACAAATATTCCAGAAGAGGCCACCAGATTTGAGAGTTGAGCACTCAGGAGAGAATCCTTTGCACACAGATCCCATGAGTAACCAGGTAGGGATGTCACAGCTAGAGAGCACATCCAGCCATGCTTTAAACATTGTGAAAGGGATTCATTCATTCAACCATAGTGCTATAAAAGGGGCTGTGATATATTATATGCTTGTTTGTTTAGGAATATTTCTTTGTCCTTTACCCATGGCATTGCTGTTCATCAGAAACACCCCAAATGATAATCCACTATTATCTTCAAGGCACAGGAAAAATGTCTGTACACCATACAAGTTATTTCCTTCCTGTAGGAAGACAATTAAAACACAAACATTCACAATTAGTCTAAACATCATGATCAATGAAGATGTCAATGAACTTTATGAGTTCAGGTCTCTATTTAGAGGATGTTAACAAGTGAGTTGGTGCTTTCTCAAATAATGCACCAACTCTGACCATTAATCTAGTATGTATATGGAGATCTTGACTTTTGTTAAAATATGGAAGGATATGAATTCTGAAACTATTGTTCATAGAATCTCTATTCTCAAAGAGGACTATGTGATCCTAACTTAACCTCATCTGCAAGTGGTCTATCAAATTTTAATATAAATCAGCATCCATAAGGAGCTCTAAGTGGTTGAAAGTTCACACTGCCCCATGGTAGAAGCTGCAGATTAGGTCACCATCACCAGTTGCTCCTTATAAGCTGCTCTCTCAACACATTTTCCATTTGTCAAATGGATTTTGGGTAGCATGTGTTTAAGTGAGACAGAGAAGGGATAAGACGCTGTCTCTCCTGCCTGAAAAACAGTTTACCACAGGCTCTTGATTTCCATGGGAAATTTACTGAGGATATTCTATGTGCCATGTATTCTTCTTGATACTTTACATGTCTCAGTCATTTAATCCTCACTATAACCTGTAAGATGAGTATGTAAACCCCACTTTAAGTTTCACACTCACGGACTGATCTAGCTAAGCACCTGACATTACCCTCATTTTACAGATGAGGAATTCAAGACCCAGAGCAGTAAGAACTTGCTCAGAATCACATCACTGATAAGGAGAAGATCTCAAAAGCAAAACCAAGCAGTGTCACTCCAGATTCTCCCTCTAAACTGCAATGCCATGTGACACTCGAGATTAAGGTTGTGATATTCACAGGAAAGGAACCTGAAAGCTTACATCATTGGGAGTTGTGTCCCTGGAAAACAAGGACCAGGTCTTCCAATTCATGTCATGCCGGTACTGCTGGTGCACATGTTCACCCAGACCGTATACGTTAGCACTTGGCAGTCGGGTGGAGAGCTGCAGGAACTGGTCGGAGAAGAGGAGGGGCCCAATACTTGAGTCAAACCTAGACACAGGACGGAAGCACAGACCTGAGTGAGAAGTAGGGTGAGAAGGACAGAGCTGCTTGCCCAAGGGCTCTTCACAGCTCACTGACTCCATAGGCCCTCTCCAAGTCTTCCTCTGACATTTTCCCATAGATACCAAGAGGCAAAACATCTCCAGGCCAGGTACCATTGTGGTACAACCCTTATGTCTGTTCCTTAGACACCTTACCACATGACCAGAGCACTGTACTTAAAATGGCCATAGACATTTAGTAAGTGTTGATTCGTGCTCACATGATTAGACAGATGGGAGAAAGGGAAAATAAAAATGTTCAGATAGAAGAAAGTAAAAGGAAGAAAGAATTCTCTCTCTCTCTCTCTCTCTCTCTCACACACACACACACACACACACACACACACACACTTGGAACACAGTAAGGTCAGCAGCTTACACACTTCCCCTTATCACTATCTTCCTACTCCCACCCCCCCCCTTGATAAACTTCCAAAACTTACAGCACACGGTTATTGCTTTTTCTGGTGACTTTGATGCCAAATGGCTGTTTGGAGACCTCAACTTGGTAGTTCAAGGAAGGAGCAGCATTTCCACTGAAGGGTTGCACATGCTCATGAGGCACTTCATACCTTCCCTTGTTTTGGTCAGTCAACTGCCCAGAGAGATGAATAGAAACAAAGTCCAAATGAAAACTGACCTACCATTCAAAACTACCAGTGGCCTCTCCAGCACTAGTGCTTCCTGTGCGGATGGTCCTGGAAACTGAACACTGATCAAACTGGCATTATGTCTAAAGTAATGTGCTGGTTACATTGCCAGCTTCATATGTTTGTCTGTTGGATATATATTGATCTTCAGGTAGAGATACACTGTGATTCTGAAGGCTGTCTCTAGAAAATTCAGAGCAGTGGTAGCACTTTGATCCCTTCTTCAATTTCCATGGTATCTAGGACAAATGAGTGGGAACTGAAAGCTCATTGGTAAACTCTATATGAATTGAGGAAGTTACCACACAGCAAGAAGGCTATCAAAGACTGTAGTGGGTAGCCATTCCAGCTTTGATCTGGAAGGTCCAACCCCCATTGAGGCTTAGGTAATTGTCACGCCTACAAGGTGGGGCCAAGAGAGAACCCTGAAGACCCCAGATCCAGATGCGCTGGCTCACTTGGTTCCTGGACCCTGGATGCTGGAGGTAAACCAAGCAGAGTTCTCCAGAGAACACTGCCAGACTGCGCCACACCTTTCCCAGACCCTGTAAACTATCCCTTCACTTGTAAGTTACCCCACAAAATAAACCTCCCTTTTAACTACGTGGAGTGGCCTTAATAATTTCACCAATAAAAGACCTTGACAAACAAGTGCTATATGACTACAACAGAGAAAGCTACTTCCTTTAGCAAAATGTTCTCTTCTGCAGGAATTGCAGTTATGAGGTATAAGAATACTTATGAGGTATAAGGTTTTGAAAAAACAAACTACAACCTTAAAGTGGAGGCGATTAGATGTCTGGTACTCGACTGTGAGCAGGATGTTTTCAATGTCATTTCCAAACAGGGGTGTGGAAGGCAAGTTTTTCAACTGGGCTGTGAATCCTAGCATGCAGAAGAGAAAAGGCTTTCATAGTTGGTTCTGTTAATTTTCAAATAGTGGCCACATAAAATTAAACTTTAGGTCAAAGGGGCAAACAAAAACCTTCATCTTCCAAAGAAGGGAAGATATAGATACATATCCCCTCATGGATATGCACATCTCATCTTGGACTGGATCCTAAACATAAGTACTGTTAATACTATGTCCAAAACTATCTAACCCTCTTCTCTAAGATCTGAGTGAAAACACAGCCCCAAATGGCTGTTATGCTCCCTGATCATCAGTATTCTTTCTCAGTTATGTACTCAGTACATTACAGAGCATCTTGTTCACTGGAGTCATGTCCTCAGTTAAACAGCCTTGAAGAGTACCACCCCTTCTTTACACTATGAACCTTCCCATGGTGGTACCCACTGTCATCCTCATCCCACAATGCTCATTATTATGTTCTTTGTTTAGGGGTAAGAATATTAGTTCATGAAGACGGATGTTAACTAGGTAACTTCTAAAGTATGCTTGTAAATTTGTAACTGTTTCCATTTCATAAAAATTATACTAGAATAGGGTTACAAGGAATCTTGGATATCATTATTTTCATATTTAACACATTATAAATAATAAATTTGGGAACCAAAATGGTCATGATGATTATATAAAGTCATGAAGGTGCATAAAAGTGAAGACAGACCTCTGCATACAAACTGTAGGTGTATAGCTTGGGATTTTTGTTGAACTCCTAATAGTGAGAGTGGGGGTGTCTCTGACTCTTTTACCTGCTCTTGGGACACTTTTCCTTCTACTGGGTTGCCTTGTCCAGCTTTTATATGAAGATTTAATGCTAGTCTTATTTTAACTTGTTATGCCAAGTTCAGTTGATATCACTGGAAGGCCTGCTCTTTTCTAAAGGGAAATGGAAAAGCAGTAGATCTAGGGGGAGGGAACTGAGAGAAAAGGGGGCATGAGATGTATTGGATAAGAGAATAATAAAGAAAAATGAATAAATCTTTTTATACAAAAAAGCGAGAAAATACATAAATCTTTATAAACAAAAAAAAAAAAATGAAGCCAGAAACAGGACATGGTCTCTGAATTCCTGAGGCAGAGGGTGATTACTGCTTGATGCCAAAATAAGATCTAATCACTGACAAGAGCTGTGCCCACCTCTGTCACATATAAAGTGTGACAACAGAGTAGTCAGTACTCTATGTGCTACTACAGGTGTCCCCTAGGATGGAGCCAAGCCTCCAGATCTAAGGTTCTACCCTCAGCCTACCTGCATTTGTAAACACAGGATCACTCTCCATTTGGTAGCCATGATTCCTGGAATAGTAGCAAGAAACATTAGCAGCTCCCTGAGGATCCCAGCAGCAGCCACGCTGGTCACATGTGTCCTGAAACAGAGATTAGACTATTAACTCCATTTAGTTCATTACATTTTAGGAAATGCAAATTAGCCCATTTGAGATTGTGATAGCAACAATTCACTTTTACCAACAAGACCTGACACCAAGTGGAAGAACTTCTATAGTTCTCCTTGCCAGCTCTCTTCTTATGGTGTAGGAGGCAATGTATGCTTCACACACAAAAGCTGGCAAATATCTTTTAAAATTCTAAACCATAATATAGTTATATCACCAGTATTCCAAAATTATAAATGGAGCTTCATGTGTATTACCTTTGAATTAATGACAAAAAAATGACTCTCTTCAGACACTTTCAAACCAAGCCAATCTTGATTTGACTTCATTTGTTGTTAATTTACTGCATTGCAGTGTGGGGGTGTCAGCATTTGTTTGGGATCTCTGTGTATGAACTAAATATACTCAGTACAGCAAATGCAGCAGCAGAATGCAAGGTAGAAAGTCAGGACAGATCATGTCTAAGGGTGTCCCCAGGTCTGTCTTGTTGGAACTTTCAGAAGCACTAGGTGGAAAGACCATACTATTTGTTTAAAGGCTTGAGGAAGAATGCTTTTAAATGTATACATGTGATATATATATATATATATATATATATATATATATATATATATATATATATATATATATATACATATATATATATATATAATTTCAACTCCTACCGAGACAGAAAGAAAGAAATGTCTTTCCTTGACAAACCAAATAGAGTGTAGTTTTGCCTTAAGGAAGATGCCTGCCTATACCACAATTGATATGTGAGTTAAATGGAAGCTAAAATGAATACATTCTCTTTCCTAGTGCATCTAATTTTGGAGAGGCATTCAGAATAAACATGAAGCAGTACAAAAAAAAATCTCTCCTTGCATGTGTGGGCTTGGGGCTAGTGTCTTGCAGCTAATAGGCAACCGTGGATGACACACCCCAGCTTAGACCACAGACACAAGGTAACTTCGGTCTTGCTCATTTTCCTTCCCTTTCTCCACTGGAGCACCTACCATGGGAAAAGCAAGCTGTTATATCATGGAAGGGTCCACATGGTGAGGAACTCAAGGCAGGGTTCTCAGTATAACAACTCCACAGAGAAGAGTCATGAAAATAACCCACATTGGTAAGCTAAAAGGATCAGTGTGATCTCAGAAGACTTCTTCACTGTGGTTTCTGAGAATCTCAAAGATGGAGTTAACCAACCAAACCAAAGCCAGCCAGATTTTCAATAGAGAAACCTTGAGAAAATAGGCTTGTTCCATTAAACCATTATCTTTTGGATACTTTGCTACATAGCAGGGGATGACTAATACATCCTGTCACAATGCCTTACAGATATGGAACTCAGAATCCACAGAGTAGAGGGTTACAGATGTGAAACCCTGCCAAGGGCTCTTAACAACTGAGAAATCAAAGCCAAAACTTGTCCATTTCTTTTTCCTATCAGTATCACTGGATACATGCTAATGAAAATATGTCAGTGTCTAGCAGATGTCAAGTTAAAAAATGGTAAAATATATGAATAATTGCATTTAACTGAATACTAATTTTTATACTGACAGCCAATTCAGGTTAAGTATCCCTTATCCAAAAGGCTTAGAACAAGAATAAGAAATGGTTTCAATTTCAGATTCCTCTTCAGACTTTGGGATTATTTATATTTACATGATAACAGTTTTTGAAGATAGAACCCTCTAAACACAGATTTCACCTGCTTTTATAGGTAAGATAAATAACCTGAAGGTGAAATACTTTTTGGATCCCCTGCCTGTTTTTCATTTGTTTGCTTGTTTGTTTGTTTTTGCAGTACTGGCGTTAAACATAGAACTTCCTGTATGGTAGGCAAGCACTCTACCACCCAACTAGATCCCCAGCACTTGTGAAATATGTGTAAATATTTTTTTCTATGAAACAATTTTTCATTGCATGAGCATTTCCACTTGCAGCACCATGTTGGTACCCAAAACCTTGTAGATTTTGGAATATTCCAAATTTCTGAAGTAAAATGCCCAATCTCTTTTGAAAGTAAAAAAAAAAAAAAAAAGACATCTACATGTGGCCCATATTCCAATGGGAACAATTTTACTGTGATATAGACTTTAATCAGAAGTTGTGGCTTTGTTCCTTCATTTCAATACACACTCAGATGAAAGAGATTACAGATGGAAAAGGCAAAGGAACTTGGAAGGATGTTAAGCGAGGTGGCTTTCTATATAACCAGAGCTTAATAATTTTTTCACTGAACTGGAAAGCACAAAGATCAGAGAGGCAAAGGAACAAGAACATAAATGGCCTCTGCTGGTCAACTCAGAAGCACCAGTTTACTGCAGTGGAGCTGAGCAATAGTGAGAAGTGGAAGGAGAGACCAGGCAGGATTCACAGGGAACGGTCTTTGAAGGTATGGGACACCTGGGAAACAACTGCAGAGGGACGCTATGACACCAGAACAGTGACTTGGGGGGATAAAAGCACACAGAAAGAATGTAGGCTTCAGAAACAAAACACCAAGTTCAACGTGAGGATTAAAGTTTAACAGACATTGCCCAAACAGTAACTACTAACACACCAGGGAGCGGAAAACCAGGGTGGGGAGGAAACCTTCAGTCCCCAGTAAGGAACAGAGGAGGAGAGAGTAGTGCACGTGCAGAAAGAAGAAATCCTTAGGGAAAGTGGTCACGTCAGCTAGCTTGTGGCTTGAATAGCTAAAGACATCATGGTGGGGGCTGGTGTTGTGGTTCAGTTGGTAGAGCGCTTGACCAGCATGCACGGAGCCCTGGCTTCAGTCCCTGGCACCACGTTCCAGGCACCGTTACTTAGGCTTATAATCCCAACACCAGGATACTGAACTAGAAAAATCAGAAATTCAAGGTCATCCTCAGCTACCGTGAATTCAAGGTCACGCCATGCTGGATACATGAGATACTGCCTCAAAAAAATAAACAAATAAATAAACAAACAAAGGCACAGGATTCACAAATGTGAGTGTTGAACATTTTCTCTTCTGTGTGGAATTAATGGGGGAAAGGACATAAAAATGAAAGGGGAACGCTCTAAGATGTGAAGGGGGGGGACAGAAGAGGAAGAGGGATGAGAATATAGAAGAGGGAGTGAGTAGGAAAAATCCACTACGAAGCCCTGTGCTTCAGACAATTCATGTGCTAAAAAGAGAAAGAAAGGAAACTATAGTTAAAGAAACAAGTCAGTAGAGAATCCCCCTATAGCAGACGCTTCTGAAATGTAAGCTCACAAAATTACTGAAGACGAGCAAAGAAGAACAATGTGTAAAAGGCAGCATTCATGTTTGATAAGGCTCCCCAAACTCAGTCCTGGGGGTACAGCCTCCCAGCTGATACGAAGCCTGCAGTCCACAAGGAAGATATCACAGACCAGATATGGCACAGACCCAAGAAAGAAGAATCAAAATATGTGGAGGAAAAAAAAACTTTAAAGCACAGAATGAAATTGAGAGGCAGCACACAATGAATTGTTTTTAAGGCACACTCCTGAATAACTAATAAAATGTAGACAAAAAAATGTAAAGCCATTTTACTTTTTAACATACTACCCATATATTCAGCCCCCTGTATCCACAAGTTTTCACATCCAAGAATTAAACCAAACTTGGATCAAAATATTTTAAACAAGGGCATCTGTATTGAACACAGTTTATTTTTCTTATCACTATCCCCTAACACAGAACATGACAATTCTTTACCTAGCACTTACATTAGAATAGGCAGCTCGAATAATCTAACCATGACCAGGAGTGTAAGTCTAGTAGTATAAAGAAAGACATGTGGCGATGCTCTATGAGTGGCACATCACTTATACAAGGCATTCAGCATCTGCAGGCGTTTTGTCCATGGGGTCCTGGGTAACTGGATTTAGGCTTTAGCACCAACACACAGATAACTGAACTCACAGGTACAGAGAAATCAAATCCTGAAGCCCCTGTTTTAAAATGAAGTGAATCTCTACTCTGCCCAGCTTTTACTTGTCTTGACATTTAAGAGTGATAGAAAAGGAGAAATAAACAAGTATTCCATACTAAAAGTTGACAGGAAAGAAAAAGTAAACCTAGAGCCTAATATTATCAGGATTGACATAAAGAGGTGGAGGTGGCTTTTCCCGTTGAGTCTGAGTGGCCTATGACAGATTTGGTCAACAGACTGCACAGTGCTGCTCCTGACCCCAGCTTAAACAGATGAGCAGGCTTGTCCCACATCTCTTGCAGCCCTGAGTTGCCATGGAAGAAATCCAATTGCCCTGCCCAATGAAGAGACCTCTAAGAGAGTCTCTGAGACCTCATGAAGTGGGGAAAGTGCCCAAGTAGGAATATCCCCACAGTTGTTTTGGTCAAGGTGCCAGATGCATGGGTGAACTCATCTTGAAACTCTTCACCAGAATTGATCAGCCACCAGGAGAAGCCAGTAAGATACTGCAGCCAGCAGCACTCAGGATAGAAGAGATCAAGTCAAATCCTGCATGTGTTTCTACCCCATAAAATCATGAGTGACAATATAATTGTATTTTTGTGCCACTAAATTTGGGGTAGTTTGTTTCTCACAAATACATGGGAGGGCTGGAAGATGAGCCACTGCACAAGAAGTCTTACTGTGTAAACATGAGGCATCTGAATCCCTCAAGCCCACAAAATAATCCAGGCATACCCACATGTATCTATGACTCCAATGCTGTGGGGACAGACAACAGGATTCTGGGGTATGTTGGTTACCAACCTAGTTTCAGGTTCAATGAGAGAACCTGTCTCAAGGGAATAAAGTGAGGTTGGTAAAGCAGGGCCTGGCATCCTCCTCTGGCATCCATACACATGCACCACACACAAGATTACCTAAGCAGAGAGGCCATGATCTAAGGAAGCAGGTTTCAGTGCCATGTTAGTGACTGTTATGCTGAAAGCATCCACCCCAGAGTTCAGGAGCTGCCATTGTGATGATGTTAAGAGGTGGGGCCCCTTAACATCAGTGATCAAAAATTGACATCTCTACACTGTGAACGGGATCCAATGCCTTTTCTCTTCTCTCCCTGTGAGCATGTAGCAAGAGGACCTACATCAGTGTGACTATGAACTTCCCAGCATCCAGAACTATGAGAAATAAACTTCTGTTCTTTATAACTTTACCCAGTCTTCAGTATTCTGATACAGCAACACAAAATTTATTAAGACAGTAATATTCCGTCAAACCCAGAGACTGTGGATTGGGTGCTAAGCAGAAGGCTCACAGTCACCCAGCACTTTGCTGAATAGCTCCATCATGGAGCTAAGGAGAACAGCAGCCCAAGGTACACTCCAGTCAGTGCTCTGCTGTCGTGGGCGTCACACTGAAGACACTCCTATTGTTTGTAGGGCTAGGACAACCTGAAGTTGTGAGCAAAACCATGGAGTGAGTGAATCTCCCTAAAGAGAAGAGTCCCATTTTCTAGCAGAAGCAGGAATTTTAGAAGTTAAAGTATTCAATAATAAAGGAACCCTAATCAATCTGTACTCACCAAAACAGTCCCTGGTCATTTGTATGTACAGCAACTTTGCAAAAATTAAAAATAAACGAACAAAATTAATCCTGAGCCAGCAAGACGGCTCAACAGCTGAAAGAGCTTGCGGCCAAGCCTGAAAACCTGAGTTCAGTCCTAGGACCCACGTGTTGGGAGGAGAGAACAAACTCTCACAAGATGTCCTCTGACCTCCACATGTGCACAGAAGCACATGAACACACAAACACATACACACATAAAATAAATAAATAAACCTGCAATAAAAATAAATGAATAAATAAGTAAATAAATAGATAAGTAAATAAATAAATAGAAGTAATCTTGAATGATGGAAATGTATTGACCATAGACTATTTTATGCATTATTCAACATGTGTATCTTGAGTAAGGTTTTAAAAGTTAACATGGCCACTTTCTTCCATGCCAAAATAAGATCTGATAGCAGAATTTTATAGAAATATACCTTCTCTGCCATGTCGTTATCCAGATTTTCAAGTCTCCAAATCAGACTACAGGGTATTTTCAGAGAATATTTCCCATGACCTTTGAGATTATAATTTTAAAGTTTTTAATCAATAGATGGAAGTGGGGGAGATAGGATATGATTTGGGAAGGGGGAATATGGGGACATCTGAAAAGAGTTGGAGGGGGAAGTAAATATGGTCAAATTATACATGTATGAAATTCTCAAAGGTTAGCGAATACATCTTTAAAGTGTTCATAATCACAGTTTAATGGTGTCTAATAATCACTGCTTAATTAATATGTTTATCTGAATACACATTGTCTCCCTGGCTGGTAAGGATTTGAAACAGCAGGCAAAGAAATGTGACAACATTATAGCTCTGTCCAGTCAGAGTTCCTCAAAGCAGAATCAGGCTGAGAACCCAGGCAAGAGCTCCGTTTCTCTGATGTGCTTATGCCCCATGTCTGAACATGGTCCAAACTCAGGTCGATTTCTGGGACTTTGTATCTCACTGCTCTTCATAGAAACAACTAATGGCTATGAGCTGATGTTGTGTAAATACAGAGTAATTTTTAGGTGGAGGCTCGTAATTATATCAGCAAAGCATGCTATCTTTGTTGGTAAGTCATAAAACATGACCACTTAAATACATTGATAAGAAACTGGAATGTGGAAAAGGACATCATAAGCCAAATTCAGAATTGATAAGTAACTTGCAAAGTGTGTATTCTATAAAATATAACAACACTTCTGAATATTAAAAGTTAGCCTTTCTAATATATAGGGATTAACATTGCTGCTTATAGAAAATCCATGTCAACTGCATTCAGATTAAACATCTCTCATAGTAATTTAGAGTATGAAAGCTTGTGCTAAGTATGGAAATTTGTTCTCCCATATAATCACAAGAACTCTAACCCTGAAAAATTAAAGTGTTTAAATTTATTACTTAATATCCTTTCCCTGAGCTAAATATCTGGACTTGAGCTAAACATTTCTGTTCCCTGCCATAAATAAAATCTGGAATTGACGGGGAAAGGCTGCATCAAGAAGGAGGGGAATGGTGCCCTGCCTTATAAATGATGGACTTGAAATCCATGTCAGTGGCTGTCTCTTAAATCTGCACATGGATTACAAAGGTATAAGAGAGTTAAACAGTCCAAAATAATAGAAGAAAATATTTGAACTTGACCTCATACACAGACTGAACTGATAAAAGTAACAGTTTTCTTGTTATCCTAAGACAGAGGAGATGGGAGGGATAAAACTAAACAGCAATAGCCTCAGCAATGCAACCTTCCACTTAGTCTGTCTTCTGGGTTCATCACCCCATCCTACCCACCTCTATACAACCTTCTAACATACACAACACATAAATCATCAATACATTCAGCCCCTCAGCAATAACCTAGACCACTAGATCAACAGACAGTGCACAGGTCACATAGTAACTGTAACACACAGGCTTAGATACCTCTCCTATGAGAAAACAGACAATTTAAAATGGCAGTATTTCCCTCCAACTGGCAAAAGAGAAGCAAGACAATAGATGAACATAAAGATCACATGGTTATTCGGATGGGTACATCATGTTAGAAAATCTAATAGCCCCTTTCTGAACCACACCTTGACTGGAAAGAATTATAGTAGTGTATTAAAACAGCAGTATGCAAAGATTACTGTGGCAGTGATGATATTTGAAGTTCAGCAATATCCTGTAACAAGATGAAATACTGTAAGGATAACATAGTTAAGAAATGGCCTGCTTCTGGGAGCTGCCTAGTAACTCATTTCCTAGAATAAGGTGACACTAACAAATTCTTTTATTTTAATCAACTTTCTACAAACCCAGTGCAAAGAAAATGTTGCTTTGGTAAAACACATCTAGACCATAGCTGTCCACAATAAAGCACATACAGACAGTCCTCAGGAGACATCCGATGTACCTTGGAGTCTTAGCAGTCTTCCTGGACACTCTTCCCCTCTCTGCACTATTCAGAATGGTTCAGCTCAATGACCTAGCTCCCCACCCCACTCAGTGCAGCTTTGATGACTACTTCCACCTTGAATTCACCTTCAGTTCCATGGGGCCGGGGTGAGAAATCATTAGTAAAGTGCCTGTTGCCCTTCCCATTCCTCTCTCTGTCCACTGCATCCTTTCTCACTTATCTTTAGTTTCAGCCCTATACCCAAGGTGCTTTTCTTTCCTTCTCCCTTCTGCGTTCTTGTACCTTTCTCTGAGTCTCTCTTTCTCTCCTTCCCTTTTCGTCTCTGTTATCACTATCTACCTTTCCTCAGCCCCAGTGGCCATTGCTAGCTGTAACATATCACACTCAAACACCTTTCCCTTCTGACTTCTGAGTTCTGCTATTTCCTCCAAGACCTCCTCTTCTCTTTTTCTCATATTCTCTTCCCGCATTCTAATCAATCATGCTGATCTCCTTGCCTCTCCACCAACAGATTCCAGCCATGTTCCTGTTTACACAGTCTATGTAACAATAAAGAGCTCCTGGAAAGGGGGGATAAATATCTATCAAATGTCAGGCCATAAAACACCACGCATTTGGACACGCATGATTTCTTGTTGAGATTTCATTTATCAGGTACCTTCATGTTTTTAGTTATTTAATTTTGCCTACTACCTGAGATAAGCAAAGCAACAGTTGGGATGCCTCTCTCTCCCATGACATGCCCACCTCTATTGCACCCCATCCTCTCATTAACAGTAATCCACTAGGGCCCGGGAGTGGGGACAGTGACTTTCTGGGAGATCACAGATCACTCCAGGACTGGGAGAACAGAGTAGCTGCTACATGTGTCCAAGAAACACGTGCCACAAACATCCACTGTGTGCTTGGTGCTAATCTGTTGTTGCACTTGAGTGGACTTCACTCAGAAGGCTGGACTCTGTTTTCATTTAGATAGCATTCTGATTCTCAAAATGTAAATGGCAGGTCACTTTTCTTTATTATCATGATACTCTCAGATGTGCATAAGCTAATGATATAGAAATGCTGGACTAAAGTGCCATGTCCTTGCAAGCTCTTTACTCTGACATCAATTACCTTCTTCCTTCCAAAGTTCGACTCTTGAGACTTTGTCCTTACGTTAAATCATGCTTTGTGCACATGCACGACTTTTTTTATTGTAGTTCCTAGATAACCTTTTGAGATGACAGAATGCTGTCACGGAGAGAGGCAGTGAAAGAGTTGAGGACTGCAATCAGGAAGATCACGGGGAAAAGATAAGCACACTTTCACTAAGTCTAAAACCTCACATGGAACATACTTACCCTAAAAACATGGCCATTGTTTATCAGAAATTCTAATACAACTTGCTGAGCCTGGCAACCCAAGGGTGTATTCTAGCTCTTCTCCCCTTAAGCTACATGACCATACAAACATGGATGCAGTTTAATTTAGGTGAGCTACTAATACTGCCATACACACAGCTTTCGTGAAATGGGAAAGAAGAAAACAAGAGGAAGAAGAGGAGAGAAAGGAGGAGGAGAAGGAGAAGGAGGCCAACAAAGAGAAGGAATGAAAGGAAAGGAAGAGAAGAAGCTGCAGTGTGTTGTGAATTCTTAAGTGAAAACATGACACACAGCACAAACCTTATCGGGTAACTTGTCAGGGATGCAACTTATCCGTTCCAGTTCACTTAGCACTGGGCAACTGGGCGGGTTAAGAGTGGTTCTTGTGGTTGTAGGATCTGGAGTGGCAGTTGTGTCAGGATCTAGGACTGTCATATCACAAAAGTAGACATAAAATGATTAGAATTATGACCACAGGCATTCAATAGGACCAGGTTTCTCAGCAGTTCCAACCCTGTTAATTCCTCTACTGACTGAGCTCTAGTTCCATGTGTTTAAAGTTCTTCATCTTTGCTTTATAACACCTTATTTTGTTCTTGCTAACTGTGTTTATCTCTCTGTATACCAACATCATCTCCTTCTTTGCTGGAGTTCCCCTGAAACATGGTACATACAAGAGAAAGTACTCAATCATTAGAAGCTTGTAAAACTGGACACCAACTTGATTTTGGGCTATGTCAGTAAACCATATCCTGTCAGTCAAATCAGGTCAAAACCTGCCTCTATAAATGAAGTATCGTGGGAACACAAATACACTCATTTATTGATGGCTGCTTCATGCTGCGATGGCAATAATACACATGATAACAGAAACCATATGAGTCAGTCAATCTAAAGACTGACTGAAGGTCAAAGGACAGCCCAAATGAGTCCGTTCTCTCTTTCCACCATGTGAGTTCCAGAGATCGTTCTCGGATCATCAGGTTTGGCAGCAAGCACCTTTTGCTACTGAACCATCGTTCAGGGGGGATACTAATTCTCTGGCCCTTATAGAAGAGTCTGCCGACCCCTGCAGGAGCTATACACAGAAACATACAGTAAACATGCTGTCTTAAGCACAGCAACTTCAATTCTGTTTTCTGGGGCAATCCCTAGTCCCTTGGAACACCTCTGAGTGGTGGCATTCTTTTGTAATTATAAACTCCCAAGCGACAAAACACGTAAAGGAATCCACAAGTCTAGAAACTACCCCAGGGCTCAAAACTTTGGTTTCTAATGTCAAGATCAGTAAAACAGAAAGGGCATTCTTACTGCACTCTGACATGAGGAAGAAGCTTTATTTACAGTGCTATCTTAATAAACAATGACATTATAAGAAAAAATGCTATTTCTAATTGTTTTTCTTTGCACTGGGATTTCCAGTGGAAAAAAAAAAAAAAAAGTATTAAACAAAATGTGTTTGGACAGGCTTCTGCATAAGGCTTTAGCTCCCCCTTCAGGATCATGGAACTTTAAAAGTTAAATGACCTTTAAGATTCTAATCTTACTTTCTGAAAAAGGAAAAATTGATGTAGCTAGGGATTGAGTAAAATGGACAAAAACTGGTTTGGCGGCAATCACAAGCTGGTCCTTCGCTGCCTGGTTCCCACAGAAGTGATTCCTGTGTGAGGCAGATAGGAAAGCCTGGATCATTCAGCACACCTTTGCCAATCTTTTGAGATATATCAGCTCAAAAAACTTTGGATAAAAATAACATGAGTAGGTTTTTAAGAACCAATTTTGGGCCTTAAATAGTTGAATTGATATATAGCATTATATGCACATTATTTCCTTTTACATAGTATGTTGTCCAATATCAATATTAACAGATTTATAATCATTTTATTATATTCAGCAAATATTTAGCCAAGTGTAGAGCTGGATCCAGTGCAGTAGTTAAATGTGGAAATGGAGGTTTCAGAATTTAAACCTACTATCTATTGACCTGCCATGGTTTGTAGATATTCAGTAAGATACGTACAGTCTGCACGCATTCACATCCACATTCTTACATACAGGAAGCAATATAAAAGTGTGACTTCTCTACCGTCGGTGGTGAGTTTGCTCTGCTATGGGAGAGACTGGGGGTCACTCGTTACCATTTGATTGTGTGGAAGTGGCTAAGAGCACGATCAGAACCACAGCGACGATGAACAACACAAGCAGCAGGACAATGAGAATCAGTTCCAACTTGCTAAACTTTTTAAACCTTCGTCTCGCCATCTGAAAAGAGAGAGGACAGTTTTGGATTTAAAATGTGTTTAATTATAGCTAGTACATTTTTAATCCCAGAGCTCAAATGTATATAAAACCTTCCACCACCTAAATTTTCAGGGAAAAAAAAAAACAGTTTCTGACCAATTTTTTTATTTTCATTCCTATTCAGTTGCTGCTTTGATTCTGCATTGTTATGAGGCAAATCTCAAACTTCATCCATCTTAATCTGAAAATATTACAATTTATTTTCAAAACACAAGAAATTTTACAAAACAACTACCAAAAACACTATTATGACACCTACATATTTTTACAGCAATTCCTTATCAGTACCAAATACCTAACCAATGTTGAAATTCGCATTTTATAAACTTTTCAAATGACTTTTGTAATGTTTTAAACAAATTTTTATAAACGTTGGGTCTCACGAAGATGAGAATAGGATGTATATCTTATCATTAGTTTATATCTCCGTCACTTTTAATCAAAAGGGCCCGTTCCATAGACATTCCACGTAGCATGGATGTCATTAACTGCATTCTCCTCAAGCTAGCATGTCTATCTTATATTTAAGGTTAATTAATAGGATCCAAAATTTTCTCAGATTTATTTTTAACTGTTTTAGCCGCAAAGGAGCGTAGTTGGCCAAGCATCTTCATCAGGAAACATAAAATCCTGTTTTCTTTCTTGTGGGATGAGCAGCCACAGGCATTTCCAAGATGTGTTATCCCATTAGGAATTATGAAGTGGGGTACTGTGATTCTTTAGTCTTTTGTTAGAAGAAATATCTCTATAGACAGAAATGTTACTTTATCTACTCCTTGCTTCAGAAGCATGCAGTTCCCAAATGGATGATGAGTTCAGTGTTTAACTCCTTTATTTGCTGCTTATCAAAATATTTGTTTTCCTGATATCTTTCAAAGGAGACTGAATTTAATATTTCTAATCATTTTCATAAGTTGGTGGATTTCAACACACTTAATGCTTACTAATCCATTGATAACATTAATTCTCATGTCTTCCCATCTTTGTCCAGAAGGGGGCCTCATTAACCTGGTATAACCCTAAGAATCTTTTGTAGTATTCTTCCTTTCTGGCACAATATGACATCCATGGTTCCTCTTGCACTTTCTCTACCGTGGTCTGTACTTTCATATCAACGAGTAGCCTCTATTCTTTCTAATGGGTGTAATATTAGGAACAATAGTGAAGATGAGAGCTGATGGAATTCAAACTTAAAAATTTAGAATTCTAGTGCTCCATGCATCAGCATAGGTAGTGGTCACTTTCTAAGGGGTCATCCAATGGGTCCTTGAGGATTTGCTATTTTAATTTATTTTATTTTTTATTTATTTTATTTTCTATGTTTTGCTTGCATGCATGTATGTGCACCATGTGTGTGCCTGGTACCTGGAAAAGTCAGAAAAGAGTTGCAGACGCCCTAGAACTGGAGTTACAGATAATTGGTTGTAAGCCACCAAATGGGTGCTGGGATTCTAACCCAGGTTCTCTGAAAGAACAACAATTGCTCTTAACTGCTGAGTCATATTTCCAGCCCCAGAAAATTTTATTTTAAAAATACAGAAATTACACATTTACTTCTTGCTATGATTTGAATATATATGATTATATATTCATATATATATGATTTGAATATATATATATATATCCTCCTGAAATCCTATGATGGGACCTAACATCCAATGTGGTGGTAATAAGAGACGGCATCTTTGAGGAATTGATTGGCATGAGGGAACTGGGTGAAGGAAGCACTGTTGCACATTATGAAGTCCTGTTCTTATCAGCATGCTCTGATGTGACCTTCTTATCTTCTGTTTTATGGCCTCATGATCTGAGACCCACACACACAGTAAACAGGACCCATGAGCATCGGTCTTGCTCACTCAAAGCCACCTTCCTCCTCCTCACCCCTCCCACTACTTTTCTGGACGCCTTATAAACTATGCGCTATTTACTCCAAGAGAATATATTCTACCTTTCTCCCTCCGACTTTGATATTTCGTTCCTATGTCGTCATTCTCTACTATACCTATCAGTGTGTACTCATATACCCTTTTCTCCGTCAGAATTACTCACAGTTCTTTGCTCAGAGATTAGATGACAAGAGGATTTACTTCTCATATACTGGTGAGAGAGCATAGTGAGTGTAATTGACTCTTACTCTACAAAAGGAAGCAGAGCCGACAAGGACCACCTTGTGGTTTTCTACAATGAAGTGCCCTATCTCTACTGTTCCCAGCTACTATCTACAATATCTCACATTAGCAAAAGCTTTATAAGGATTTGCTTAATAGTTGTCTTTCTTGTAAAATTCCACAAAGGTTAATAAGATTTCAAGTTTACTATAATTAAATTAACTAATAAGGCAAATGGTGATCATATGTTCACTGTAGGAGAAGGGGTATTAGAATGGCATTCCAAGTGACCAGGGCTCTTTCTCTTTGGTGACTGTTCACAGCTGTGATGTGGAGGATTGTTCTTTATTCTATTATTTTAAACACTATGTCAGACACTATAAAAGAACACCTCCACATCTGGTCAAACTGTACACACATGGGTTCCATGGTATCTTGGCAAAAATTTAAAGTTAGACCATTAATCCAGGAGTTCAATTTGTGGCAATTCATCCCATCAAAGCAATTGTGTATCTGAGAATCAATGTATACACAGATGGGTTTTGATCATGAGAACAACATATCTGTGTAGAAGGAGGGCACTGAGTACACGAAACAAATGCACATTCAGTGTTATATAAAAGCATGGCATTCTTCTTTTCTGACCCTTTGAAGCTGGGCTGCACTTACTCTAACAGAATATGATGGAAGCCTGACTTGCAAGACCAGGTTACAAATGGAATTGTAACTTCTTCCTGCTCTGTCGCTCAGATCATAGCCTAAAGAAACCGGCTGCCATATAAAATACTGAAAGAGACCTACAGAGATTTCAGACAGTCTACACAGAACAGAGGCCTCTGCCTTGAATCACATTAAAAGTGGCCCCTCCATCCCAAGCAACATACTTCACTTGACTACTGACAAGATTCATAATTCATCCTGAACCTCATGAGTGACCCTCAACCATACTTCTCACCTAGAGAAGCTAGGAGACAAGATTTTTTTATCTTTTAAGCAGAAAATTTGGAGTAATTTGTTACATAACAATACATAACCAATGCAGACAGATAAATGTGACCTTTAAATAAGATACCATTGGCATTTTTTGAGTCTTCCTGATTCTTGGCAAACACCTTTTTTGTTTCATGTGTTCAAATGTATTAACTGCTCTAAAGAAAGAATCATAATATGTATTTTCCAGATATTACAACAGAAATACTTCCTTAAGCCCTAAAAGAAAAGGGGAGAATTACCTTTCCAGTATTACCTGATTGGCTTTCGTTTTATTTTCTGCTTTAGTGGGACCTTGAAGGAGACACGCACTTACTCAATTAGTAATGCAATCCAAGAAAAACCAAGATTAGGCAAGACACCATAAAACTAAGGTGGAGGAGAGGAAATGAATACCACGGGACAATAAAGAAGTGGGAGTGGCCAAGATGCTGAGCTGGGCTGTCCCTTGGGAATGGGAGAAGACCCTGTGAGGATAGCAGAAGATGCTAAGAAGATGAGAACAAAGAGAATGTTGCTGTCTCAGAGGTTCAGCAGAAAAGGGGGGTATTTTATAAGGGGATACAAAAAAGAAAATCCTCTCCAATGTTTGTCCGTACAAATCAGAATATTAATTTGATGAGCCAAGAACACACACTTGGCTTCTGTGAGAAAAGGTGATGTCACTTGGAAATCACTGGTGGCTGAAGCCATTCAGGAAGAGACCAAAAGCAATGGTCCAGTGTTCACAAAGGTCTCTTGGGTTGCTGTGGCAGGAAGAGGCATCTTCAAAAAGAGAAGACAAGGACCAGCCAGGGAGCACTGTTGCCACACAGATGACGGTACATCCCTTGATCAGAATAGCCTGACAAAGAAGACGCATCTGAACCAAAGGAACAAGGCTAGGAAGATTGGAAATTAAATGCGTTAGAAGGGGAATTCTGTGGCTGGACTGAGTCTACCAGGTTGATCTCAGTCCTCGGGCGGGCGAGGCTTTGCCCTGGAGGAGGTGGGAATAAGGGGTGGGCTGGGGGGAAGGGGAGGGAGGAGAACAAGGGAATCCATGGCTGATATGTAGAACTGAATAGTATTGTAAAATGAAATAAAAGGAAAAAAGGGGAGGGGGGATTCTGAAACTTTCGACCGATAAAATCTTCAAGTGAAGTTCTATCAGACTCTCTGAGGACTCGGGTTGGGAAGGGGGGAGGGGGGGAGGACACGGGGGGGGGGGGCAGTTGTGGGACTTCACCTGAAAATCGTGAACTGAGGAAAGAATAACAGACTTTCCGAGGCTTTGTAAATATTATAAAGCCAGTTCAGTTTTTAGAATAAAAGCAGGCTGGAAGTCAGGCTACAGATAGAGTAAGCAAAGCTAAACAGCGTCCATGGCATCTCTTCTGTGCTGTGATCGAGGAAACAATACAAAATTAAGAACTGGAACAGTAGAGAAGTTTGTCCCAAGTGTCCTGAACATCTGTCTTAAGACTCTGAAAATAAAGGCAGAGCCTAAAGGAGAGGAGAAGAGGAAGAAAAGAGGGAAAGAGGGAAGAGTGAGAATGAAAGGGAGGGTGTATTCTAACCACTGGGGGAAAAAAAAAAAGACGCAGAAGCGGGAATAACTGAAGACGGCCTAAGGAAAGAAAAGCCATGAAGACGGGTTCAGCTGGAGCAGAATAGGAATTATCCAGAGACTGAGGAAAAGATGCTAGTGCACAATGAACATTCATGTGAAGGGATGGATACGAGAAAACCAGAGGGGAACAGAAAGTTTCCCAGTCCCGGCAGATCTCCACCCACGTCTTCCCCAAATCCCCAAAGAGGCCTCCAGACCACCACGTGTGAATCCCACCCGAAGACCTGAGAGGGAAGGATTACAGTACA